ATTAGAGGATGTGGCCTGGCATAGATAAAATGAGAGACACGCATTTTGCATGGGACATAGCTATGCTAAAAAAATTATTTCTTGTTTACCTGAAATTCAAATTTAACTGGGTGTCTTGTATTTTTATTTGCTAAATCTGGCAACTTTATTCCCCAGTGTATGTTAGCTGGTACTTTTCCTTTTTTAAGATTTTATTTATTTATTTATTTATTTATTTATTTATTTATTTATTTGAGAGAGAGAGAGAGCTCATGAGCTGGAGGGAGAGGGAGAGAGAATCTAAAGCAGAGTCTGCTCTGAGCACAGAGCCCAATTCGGGGCTCGAGTCCCAGGACCCTGAGATCGTGACCTGAGCCGAAACCAAGAGTCAGCTGCTTAACTGACTGAGCCACCCAGGCGCCCTGATTAGCTGGCATAGTAATAATAAATGTTGAATGATATGAAAAGCTTTTTATCATAGTATTTGTATGTACCTAATCTTTCCCCAGTAGATTAAACGTACTTTAAAAGCATTCATTCATTCATTCATTCATTCATGCATTCACTTAACAATTATTTATTGGGCATCTCCTATATGCAAGTCACAGTCCCAAGCTTTGGGGATAGAACAGTGAGTCAGAACTAGTCCCTACCCTCATGGAGCTTCCAGTCTGGCAAGGAAGATGAATATTAAGCATGAATTACCCTACATGATTAATAAACATTGTGACAGGCCCCTAGATGTCCTAGTGGTAAGGTCAGGCTGGGTGGGCACCCGAGCCTGGGATTTGTCCATCTCCTCTCTCCCACTCCTGCCCTCAGTTTGCTGCGTGGTGGGTGGCTGGACGCTGTGCTGAGGGGCAAGGAGAGATGCTTGGAGAGATGCTCCTGATCCCTGGGAAGGAGGGTCAGTGTGCGCGGTGGTTCCCACAGTGGGGCTGACCCCCCCGCCCCCCGCCGGCCATCCACACTCTCTCCATCCTCCCTGGGAATGAGGTGAGGTGGGAGGGGTTGGGTCCAGCTGGGGAGAGACTCTGCCTGAGACCAAGGTGGGTCTGGGCTGAATCCGAGACTTCATCTTTTGGAACACATCCTGTGTGTTTGTCCGGTTGGCAGGCTCTGGGTGGGGGCGAAGGGAAGGGGTTTGGGGTGAACCATGTCTTTGCAGAGGGCAGTCAGCTGGTGATGTCAGTGGAGGGGAGGGCCTTTAAAGATCAACTGGCTTGACATTTGGTGGATGAGGATACTGAGCGCTTGAGAGGGAAGTGCCTTCTGAAGGTCACGCAGATCTTTCCTGCTGGAGCTGCCACCAGAACCCAGGCTGACTCCCGGCCGAGCCCCTGCCCTGCCCCCTCTCGACCACAGCCCCCGTGGTGTTAAAGGAGAAGGCCCCGTGAGTTCACCACCCTTCTCCCCACTGGGAATCCCCAAGGAGGGGTCACCTGGGAGCCCACGGCCCCCCCCCCTTCCCACATCCCCCAAGCAAGTTTCTGGGCAGTTCAGGCCCCGGGCCTTTGTCTGCAGCTCTGAGCAGGGCCGCCACTGAAAGCCAACCTCAAACAACAAATGAGAAATTTGGCCTTGAAAAAGTTTCACTTCCCAAATTTCACTCTGGGGCAGGGATCTGACATCCCTAATGCTCTCTCACCCGTTCCTCTCGAAAACCCTGAGGAGCTTGACTTGTGACCTGTCCAGGCTCACTGAGGGCAGGGCCCTCCTCCTCCCTTCTCCCTGGGGGCTAAGTACTGATCCAGTCCCCTCCCCCGCCCCCACCCCCCAGAACCACCCACCCAGCCCAGCGGTCCCCAATCCTCTGTGCGTCCAGGCTGGGATGTCCATGAGGGACAGGACAGAGTTTTCACCGCGTTCATGTTCTCTTTGTCCCCTCTCCAGGGCCACATCCACTGCCTTAGTGAAGACCCTTCCCTCTCTTTCCTGGCATTCTGGGATCATGGAAAGTCCTGCCATCAGACATCCCCAGTTCACCTGGTGCCACCACTCCTAGCTACGTGTGGCAGTTCTAACACCTGTCCACAAATTCTTTGGCACTGTGGCCATTGAGAAATGGGCTCTGTCTTCTGGCCTTGAAACTGAGCCAGCCTGATAGTATGGTGACAATAGGGTTCCTCCGAAGTGCTGTGATAGGGCTTCCAAGGCTAAGTCTTATAGATGCTTCAGCTTCCTTCAGCTTCTCCAGGGACATTCATCTTTGGAGCTCTGAGCCGCCATGTGAGCAGTACAAAGTCTACCATATTGTAAGGAAGACCGCGTGTAGCGTCTGGCCAACAGTCCCAGCCAAGGCCTGAGCTGCCAATGAGCATCAGCTGTAGACAGCGAGGACAGCTGCACTTAGAGGGGGATGGGTGGGGCGGGGGTGCCTGCCAGGCTGCTGGAAGCTTCTCAATCAGAGCCCACTGAGGAGTGGAACCTTGACTGGCCCCATGTGGCTAGCAGGCCCAGAAACTCAATTTTATCAGGGTCTTCAGAGAGAGGGATGGGCTCAGAGGGCCAGAGCCCCCACATCTGAGCTCAGAACAGTGAGAGACCTTGGCTCTGGGGGCTGCCCCCACCTCTTGAGTCAGCACCCTCCCTTCCTATGGGCTCCAGCCCCCGGGCAGAGTGCTCTCATGGTCACTGGGTTAGAAGGGACCAATGACTGGCCTGTTAAAGCACACCCACTCTCTAATCTATGTTTCTTTTATTTCTTTATTACTTAACTCATTCCCCAGTAGAGTTTGAACTCCATGAAGACAGGAGCTCACAGAAGTTTATCTGTGTTGAATTCTGCTTCATCTCCAGTACTTACAGCAGTGTCTGAAACATAGTAGGTGCTCAGTAAACACTCACTAGGTAAGTAAATGGCTGGATGGTGTGTCTGTTACTGGGAGGCCAGACCAGCCTGTAGGCCAGGCATTGCTTGCTCCTCTGTGAAGTGGGTGCCATGATGGGGCCTATCCATCAGGGGTATTGGTGGTGACTTGAGGGATGGACTAGTGCTCATGCCTAGTGTGTTGCTAAAGCTCAAGTGGGGATTATAGGGATCGTTAGCATTATTGGCTGCCACAGGTTGAGTCTCCTCTGATCAGGAAGACAAATCCAGCCTTCCTGCTGGCCCTTGGCCCAGGCTCCATGAAGATTTCCAACGCATGAGCATATTTGGGCTTCTGACCCTCCAAGCAGAGGAGGCACCTCCTTGTGGCTCCCACAGCCCCACCCCCCCAACCATGTGTTCCCCAACCCTAGCTCTGGGACACTGATCGCTTCTCAGTCTGGGAAATCTCAGGGCTTGAGGACCGGGCCTCAGCCCCTGTATCCCAGCGTCTAGCCCCACTCCTGCCCGGTGAGTGCTGGGGAATGGACAGTGAGGGGATTGAGTTGGTCAGAGCTTCCCCTGAGATTGCTTCATACCTTCGCATTCTTCACATTTTGACCCGAAACACCAGAGCTTCCCTCCATGACACTGTAAGGATTATTGTTCTGTGACAACAAGATGGTGGATCACAGGGCCAGTTTCTTCTCGGTTTCCTCCCCAAGCCGGAAGTGCCATGGGAGCGTGTCAAGAGGAAGGCGACAGTAGTGTTAACCAAGTCCCACCTGCACATACGGTTAAGGTAGCCCTGGCCCTCTGGGAGGCACCTGCTCTCTCCACAGCGAACACGGCGGGGAGACTGTGGGAGGCTTGGTGGCTGATCTAGTGCCCCAGGCTCCCCACCAACCCTCCTCGTGGTTGAAGAGTGATTCTGTGCCGTTAGGCTGGGCCTCTCTGGTGCCCACGGAGATTATCTGCAAAGGAGCAGGGGTGAGGAGACAGGGGGCCTGCCCTCCCCGGGCCCTTCAGGTACTTGCACCTGGGTCTGCGCGGCCTCAGGCCTGGCTGGGAGGGGACTCCCTCCCCTCAGAGCGGGGGAAGGAGGGAGGGGGCTTGGGGAGATGGTTCTGCAGTTCTAGAAAAGCTAGTTTTAACCCTTGCTAAAAGGTAGGTAACTTCTGACCCTCCTGGGGACCCTCCCTCCCTCCACAGTGCCCTGTCCCACCACACGGCAAGGTTTCCACATCCTTCCCGTCCCCTCACCTTGTTGCCCGGCTGGCTCGTTCCGCTAGTTGGGAAGTCTGCCAAATGTCAGCTTGGCCCACCTCCCTGTCCAGGCCTCTCTCTCAACCCTTTTGCAGCCCTTTCTCGGGGCCTTGGGTTTCTAGGATACCCCCCTCCTGGCCCTGGGGGAGACTTCCCAGCAGCCCCAAGAGGAGGCACCTCAGGGCTGGGAGGTGGAGGTGGGCATCCTTCTGGTTTCCCCCATGCCTCTTACAAACCATTCCTTCTCTTCCTTCCTCCCTCAGCCCCCTGGCTCCGTTGAATACACGCGAACCAGCTCTGTCCTCCAGGCCCCTGCCTGGCATCCTCCAGTGCCGGCATCCACCTGGCCACTCCCCTGCGTTCTGGGGGCGCTCACTGCCTGCCTTCCACCCCGGCCTCGTTCTCAGTGACTCCAGCACTCACGCGACGCCCTGTCAGCACCCTGACCTCCTCGCCTCCCGACATCACTTTCTCCACTCTGCCCAGCTGCCTGCTCCCAGGGTCACCCTCCAGACCTTGTCCTCGCTGCTAACGGGACCACCCCTGGATTTCCACCCTGACCACACCTCTCCTCCTTCCAGCTCACCTTCTCTCGGGCAGGCTCCTTCTACAACCCCCCACCCGGTTGCCATCACCCCTCTCCTTGCCTTGAGGTCCATGGTCTACCATTTTGATTATTCTAGTGCAATAAACATGACTCTTGTTCCCTGCTCCCTTTGTCATTTTTGCCTGGCAGGGCCTCACGGTGGCCGAAGTCAGCTCTCCCCTTTCGCCCCACCGGCACCAGAGAAGCAGGAAGTTGCTGGGACAATCCCACAGCCAGGCCACCTGGATGCACCTTAACCTCAGATGGGCCCTTGGCCTGGAAACTGCTCCGTTTTCCTGGTGGGAACATGGACAGAACTGGTTGGGTGTTGGTGGGGTAGAGAAAGGATACGGGGAGGACTTAGAGATTTCTGGCTGGAGCGGTAGGGTGTGTGGTGGGGCCCGTTTTCTGAGATGGGGAAGATGGGCTGAAACAGGTTTGGAAGAGAAACCAAGCCTCCTCGAAGTTGGTCCTGAGAGTCTGGCCTCCCAGATAGATCTTAAGCCAGTGAAGGTCTCCCACCTTCGCTGTGTCCAGCTCGGCCCCGTGGTCTTGTTAAAGTAGCAGTCAGAATGCATCAGCTCCCCTCCTTAAACCCTTCTGGTGCATTCACGCTGGCTGCAGAATGAGTCCGAAGTCTCCAAGCCCTTTTCAGAGTCTGGCTGCTGGCTTGCTCTTCTACCTCCACCCCTTCCACTCTCCACTCTACCCCCATCGAACATGCCAGTTCTTCCGCTATCCTGAGCACCTTCCTCTGCTTCTCCAATGCCCCAGACACTGTCTCACCCCAGGCCCTTGGCACATGTTGTGCTCACGGCCTGCCAGGCTCATGGCTGGTGACTTCCCTGATGTCACCTCCTTGGAGGGCCTTCCTGGACCACACAGCCAGCGAAGCCCCACCAGGCACCCCGTGTCACTCCCTGTCACATCACCGTGTTTGTCGTCTCTTGTACAGAATGTATCATAATCTGGGGCGCCTGGGTGGCTCAGTCATTAAGCGTCTGCCTTCGGCTCAGGTCATGATCCCAGGGTCCTGGGATCGAGCCCCGCATCGGGCTCCC